ATAGATAGATAGATAGATAGATAGATAGATAGATAGATAGATAGATAAAAGCGCTGGCTGCTCTTGCAGAAGACCCAGGTTTGAGTTCCAGCACCCACATAGCGGCTCACAACCATCTGTAACTCCAGTTCCAGGGGATCTGCCGCCATCTCTGTGGGCACTGCATTCACAGATGCGTAAGCAAGCAAAATCCCCATACACATAAAATAATAACAATTTTTAAACGTACTCAAGCCAGGAGTAACAGTGATGGGATAGTGGGCCAGGAAACGGGCTTGTGAGGGAGCGAGATGGTCTGTACAAGTCCTCAGTGATGAAATTCAACTTAAAATAGCAGGGGTGTAGCTCAGTGGGATAGCACTTGCTTGGCTCATCTCCAACACTGAATAAAATGGAAAGAAAATAAAAACTGTGGTGTTTTTTCCAACTAGGAAATGATAAAGTAGCTCATAGATAGAACAGGTTTGTTTGTTTTTGTCTTTTGAGACAGGGTTTCTCTGTGTAGTCCTGGCTGTCCCGGAACTCACTCTGTAGACCAAACTGGCCACAACCTCCCAGAGATCCATCTGCCTCTGCCTCTTGAATGCTGGGATTAAAAGTGTGCACCACCATCTGTAACAACATTTTTAGATGTAGTTATCTCTATTAAAAAATAATGTACAAATGGCCAGAAATATAGGTCAGCTAGTGGAGTGTTTGTCTAGTATGCATGAGGGCCTAGGTTCAATCCCCAGCACCACATAAGCTGGGTCTGGAGGATGGGCATGGTGGCACACACCTGTAATTCCAGTACTCAGATAGAGGCAGGAGGATCAGGAGTTCAAAGCCAGTCTAGGATACATGAGACCCAATCAGAGAGAGAAGAGAGGGAGGGAGGGAGAGAGGGAGAGAGGGAGAGGGAGAGAGAGAGAGAGAGAGGGAGGGGGAGGGAGAGGGAAAGAGAGAGAGAGAGAGAGAGAGAGAGAGAGAGAGAGAAATAGTGTTGTCAAAAAAAATAGTGATAAACTTTGAAGGATTTTATTTTCTTATATTTTTACAAAAGAAATACAGGTTATTCAGATAATTTTCAGTTTCCAAAATGATTTTAATTGATTTTCTGACTTTCTGAATTTGAAACTGTTTCTACAATAATATCAAATATGCTTTCCAGAAGAAAGGGAAGGCAGGCATAGTGGTACATGCCTGTGACCCCAGCCCTAAGGAGGCAGAAGCAGGAGGAGGTAGGGACCAGTGAGAGGGCTCAGCAGGTAAAGGTGCTGACCACAGAAGCCTGATGACCTGAGTATGATCCCTAGAAACCCTGGAAAGGTGGAAGGAGAGAGCCAGTCCCACAGAGCTGTCGTCCTTTGGCCTCCACATGTGAGCTGTGCCATGTGCCTACCCCACTAATAAATAACTTAAAGGAAAAGCAACTAAGCCAGTTAAAGTACGCTAGGGACAGAGCTCAGAGGCAATGCACTTGCCCAGCATAATCAGAGCCCTGAGTCCAATCCCCAGTACCTACCAAAAAAGACACGAAACCTGAGTAGAAAATAATCAGAAACTAGGAATAACTCTGTGATCCCAGCACTCAGAAGGCTTAGGTAAGAGGAATGTTAAGTTTGAGGTTAGCCTAGGCTACACAGTAAGACTCCAGCTAGGAAGAAAAGGATCTCAAAGCCCTTAATAGGTCCTTCTAAGCTCTCTGCCCATGCAATCTACAGCAAGCAGGCTAGAAAGACGGGGCAGGGTTCATGGCTCCTTACACGTGGGCTCTACCTGCTAAGCCTGCTCTTGAGTACCAACCTTCAGGAGCTTGAAGCGAGAAGCCGGAACGATGAAGTGTCTGTTCTGCTTCTTCTTGCAGATGCTGCAGCTACAGAGGGAGCAGAGGCCTGACGGTCAGTTGACACGGGCATTGTCCACATGCCCGAGCAGCCCAGCCCAATGCCTGCAGAACCAACCGGCTGACCTCAAACGGGACACCCTTCTCAGCACCATCCAGGGAAGGGAAACTTAGGCAGCTGGACGGGCCACCTGAAGCCTCTGCTCTTCGTGTCAGGGAAGCCTGCTGGTGACAGAGCCAGCAGGGGAGACCACACAGCATTCAACAATCCTGGACCTCACTTCTGCTGCCCTCCCCTCCCGGCCCTAAAGAGAAACAGCAGACTTAAAAGACACTCAGAAAATTAATTCAGACATTGTTATACTCTCATGCCTCTTTGGACAGGCACACCAGAGCCAAGGAGAGACCCTTAGGCTTCCCTCTATCTCCACATAAGAAAACCAAGAAATACCAAACTGGAAAATGAGTAAAAATCTGTTATTTTCAGCTCACCATTGTTGTCTTTTTGTTTGTCTACCCTGGGGATAGTGAACTCAAAGCATCTACATAGTAAGCAGGCATTTTCTACTCCTAATGTGCACCTCCTAATGTGCGCCTCCTAATGTGCACCTCCTAATGTGCACCTCCTAATGTGCACCTCCTAATGTGCACCTCCTAATGTGCGCCTCAAGCCCTTCAATTCACCTTTTTTTTCTTCTTAAATTTAACTTTGGGGCTAGAGATGGCTCAGTTAAGAGCACTGACTGTTCTTTCAGAAAACCCCTGTTCGATTCCCAGTATCCACCTGGTGGCTCACAGTTCCAGGGTATCAAATACCTCTTCTGACCTCTGGGGCATGTGGTAAACAGACATACATGTGGGCAAAACACACACATGCATAAAATAGATTAGTTCTTAAAAATTTTAACTTTATTTTATTCTTTGAGACAGAAGGGTCATGTTAAATTTTGTCTTTATTTTGAGACAGGGTCTCAACGTCTCCCCAGGCTGGCTTCCAACCCGCCATGGAGCTGAAGATGGCTTTGAGCTGTTATTTGTTTCTGTGAGAGAAGAACCTCAAGGACACAAGCTGGCCACAACCACTCTGCAGCCAAGGACAACCTTTAACTTCTGATCCTTGTCTCTACCTGCCCCAGGATTACAGGCATGTGATATTGTGTCCAGTTTGTGCAGAGATGGGGATCAAATCCAGGAGTTTGGACAGGCTAGGCAAACAATCTACCAAATGAGCTACACCCCCAGCCCTAACTCGCCTTTTAAAACACTCTGTCTTAGTATAGGATTCTCCAAGAAATGATGCCATAATGCTTCTTTCCAAATCTGGGTTCTATTAGTGAGTCAGTTCTCTACTTGAGGAAATCCATAGTATTTATTATTCATACGAAATTCAGGTACCATTAGAGGTAAAAGGTCTGGACCCTCTTAAGAAGTTAAGTATATGCCAACAGCTGGACCAGAAGGCAGAACCTGCTGTTCTTACACTATTATTATGCCAGGGAAGGTGCTAAGGAGCAGGCCTGCCACTTCTCTGGGTGGTAGAAAGGGCCAGTACACAGAAACCTTCTAGGTGTACACGCTCTCCACCCGATCACCTCCATCTAGCTTCAGCAGTAGACGCCTAAGAAGATTCTGCTCAAGATGGGATTCCCAGCATCGCAGCAGGGAATTATGGCCAGCCTGATCCAACTCCTGCTAATCACCCTTAAATTAGGGGTATCAATCAGAGGCATGAAGCCCATTAGTCACGGCCCTGAAAGCCCTGCTTTGCCTGAACTGTACTGGGGAGCTCTGTAGTACATATACACACAGGCACAGGCTCCTACACATAAAAATCATAGGTGTTAAATAAGTAAATTTAAATAAAAATTATAGTGCCAGGTGATAGTGACCCACACCTTGAATCCCAGCACTCAGGAGGCAAAGGCAGGCAGATCTCTGAGTTTGAGGCCAGCCTGGTCTACACAATGAGTTCCAGGATAGCTAGCTAGGGCTACACTGAGAGATCCTGTCTCAAAAAAAATCAAAAAACTAACTAGCTAAATAAATAATTGGACTGGTGAGTTGGCTTGGCGGGTAAAGGTACCTACCACCAGCCTGATGACTGGATGACCCTAAGACCAAGGGTAGAACTGACACCCACAGCTGCCCTCCAATCTACACACATACTAAACACATATAATAACTTGTTCTGAATTATCACTGAAAATTCCAAGTCATATACACAAGGGAAAGAATAGAACAATGAGCCTTTATGTCCCCAGTACCTGACGTGACAGTTATCAGCTCATGGCCGACAGTTTCATCTATACCCCACTCCCCCAGCTGGTCTGAAACACAGCCTTTTGGCTCCTCAAGTCTTCTAAGCCCATCTGGGAAGATAAAATACTCACTTGCAGTCGAAGATGTGTAAGTCTGCCGAAGCCCAAACTTCAAAACGAACGGCTCCACAGTGGCAGCCTCCTGTGTGCTTCACCAGGCCCTGGTACTCACTAAATGAAATAGAAACTAGAGCATAAGAATTTCTAACAGGCAAGCAGGGGTCTTAGGGCATGGATCCTTCAGGCTGTCTTTTTGTTCTTAAAAGAAAGCCAGGCTGGGACAAAAGGCTTTTTTATAGGACAACCAGGTACATTTCATGGATGAGGTGCAGTATTTTCAGTGTGAACTGCCTTGACTTTTATAAGACTGCAAAATAAACCATTCCCAGAACTCAGTAAGTATGAAGATAGAGAAGAAGCCTAGCAAACAGTTTTATTAAAGGAAAATATTTATACACTAAGCACCAAGAAGAGACCTTACCAACCTTAAGCAGCCACCAAGCAGAGTGGCCAAGGAATATTTCATTTTGATTGTAATAAAGATAGTGGCAGTGCCTATGGGAAAGCACAACAGGTTGCCCAGCCAGGTCTACTGATTCAGAAACGCTTTCTGGGCGGATAACAAAGGCTTTAAAAAAAAAAACAAAAAACAAAAAACCATCCACTTTCCTCTAGTACTTCTCAAGTACATGACGTTTCACACAACTCCGATATCCAGAAGGAGCCAGCCCCATAACCGAACATTAAGAACATTAAGACTCAACTAACATCATGAAGCCCCTTCTCCAAAAGACTGGATATTCCTGCCAGTGATAAATGAGAGAACCTTTTGCTGTAGCTTCTGAACAATAGCCCCAGAAGAAACAGCTCACTACAGCTTTACTTTGCCATCTGATTAACGGCAAGACTAAATGCTCTCCCAGGTTTTTCTAACAAATTAGCATCTCAATTTCTTCTTCCACAGACAATGTTTATTGTAAAAAAAATATATATACAAATGTTATCATACTTAGTAACACAATGAGAGCCCCTGTGATCATCCTACTAAGAGAGATCCCATATTTGCTACACATTCTTCTAAACTTTTTTCTGTGCAGTATTTGAACAAAATCGTTAGTGTATATAACATACAATTTCTTGGCACAAAAAAAGTTAGCTTAGAGGACATAAAAGTAAACACAGTCAGGCATACAGTATGCTAATCTGGAGACTGAAACTCATTTTTTTCATGCCAATATTTTTAGTATCTTTTCCTAGATCATCATCAGTTTGTTTTAGGGGAAAATAGTAACTCAAAGTTTTGCTTTGTGCGTCTAAGGATGGGGGTTTTGTTTGTTTCATGCAGATTAGGCAAGCCTCAAATTAACTATGGAGACAAGGATGCCCTTGAAAGTCCAGATCTTCCTGCCTCCACCTTCTAAGCACTGGGTTTACAAATATGGACCACATTACCCCTGGCTTCTCTCTCTCTCTCTCTTTCTCTCTCTCTCTCTCTCTCTTCTGAGAAAGGATGTTTCTGTAGCCCAGGTCGGCCTTGAAATCGCTGTACTCCTCTGCCTCAGCCTCCTAAAGACTAGGATTACAGGCATGTGCTACTGTACCCAGCCCCACGGATCTTTACAGAGCGTCACTCAGACTTCTCAGGAGCTAGTACACAACAGGTACTCAACAAATGGCACTTTTAATTTTTTATTAGCTTTAGTTTTAAATTAATAGTTTAAAGTATTCAATTTATAGCCCAAGAGGATAAGACTAAAAAGCAAGACACAAAGAAAGCTGAGTAAATAGTCCGTTTCAGAGAGGAGGCACCAAAACCAAGAGAACTTCTGGACCAAAGAAAAAAGAACATCTTGCTGTTTATGGAAAGCAGTTCAGATTTTTTTTTTTTTTAGCAATTGTTAATATTAGTTTTCTTCGTCTTTTATTGTTCTTTTTCAATTCACCTGCGAGGGAGCGCCTGTATGGCTAGGGTACTCAGTATTTCTCTGTAGCACCATTGTTAACGGAGGAAGGGATTCACATCCCATTTGAGAAAAAGGAGGCAGTTCTGGCCAGAGTAGTTACCAGCTCTTTTCCCACAAAAGGACCTCTGAGGTGCTCCGTAGGCCATCTAAGGCGCTGGAAGCACTTCAGAAGCACAGATGGAGCTGAAGAAAGCAAAGCCTGCCACCCCGGACCCTGGGTGAGAGCACAAAGTCTGAGCTTCCCCTACCCTCCCGCACGCGTCGGTCCAGGACGTCGCTTTGCGCGCGCTTCCCTCCCGGGAACTGTCCTGAACAACGGGCCTTCGCTCCCCAAGGCCGCTCAAGTCTCCCTTTGGACCTTTCCTCCCGCCCGCCCTTCGAAAGCACGTGCAAATACGGGTAAAAACGGTTTTGGTAGCGGGGAACCCGTGGGATGTTTTCTCCCGATGAGCCCCCCACCCCCACCCCGCGCCTGCCGCCGGACACCGACCTGAGCAGCAAGCCGGGGTAGCAGGCGCCTAGCCCCGGCTCTGCACCCAGCCTCGGGTCCCGCCGCCGGTGCGCACCTCGCAGGTGCTGGCCCGCCGCCCCCGCCATACTCACAAGGTGTCCAGCAGCAGCTTGGCGGCGCCCT